ATAATGGCGGGTGAGACATGGCGAGATGCGTATTCCTGGGCTTTGGTTGGTGGCACAAGATAGACGCAGGAACCTATGACTAATAATGGCGGGTGAGACATGGCGAGATGCGTATTCCTGGGCTTTGGTTGGTGGTACAAGATGGACGCAGGAACCTATGACCAATAATGGCGGGTGAGACATGGCGAGATGCGTAGCCCTGGATTTGGTTGGTGGTACAAGATGGACACAGGAACCAATGACTAATAATGGTGGGCGAGACATGGCGAGATGCGTAGCTCTGGGCTTTGGTTGGTGGTACAAGGTGGACGCAGGAACCTATGACTAATAATGGCGGGTGAGACATGGCGAGATGCGTAGCCCTGGATTTGGTTGGTGGTACAAGATGGACGCAGCAACCTATGACTAATAATGGCGGGTGAGACACGGCGAGATGCGTTGCTCTGGGCTTTGGTTTGGTTGGTGGTACAAGGTGGACGCAGGAACCTATGACTAATAATGGCGGGTGAGACATGGCGAGATGCGTAGCTCTGGGCTTTGGTTGGTGGTACAAGGTGGACGCAGGAAACCTATGACCAATAATGGCGGGCGAGACATGGCGAGATGCGTAGCTCTGGGCTTTGGTTGGTGGTACAAGATGGACGCAGCAACCTATGACTAATAATGGCGGGTGCGACATGGCGAGATGCGTAGCCCTGGGATTTTGTTGGTGGTACAAGATGGACGCAGCAACCTATGACTAATAATGGTGGGTGAGACATGGCGAGATGCGTATTCCTGGGCTTTGGTTGGTGGTACAAGATGGACGCAGGAACCTATGACTAATAATGGCGGGTGAGACATGGCGAGATGCGTAGCTCTGGGCTTTGGTTGGTGGCACAAGATAGACGCAGGAACCTATGACTAATAATGGCGGGTGAGACATGGCGAGATGCGTATTCCTGGGCTTTGGTTGGTGGTACAAGATGGACGCAGGAACCTATGACCAATAATGGCGGGTGAGACATGGCGAGATGCGTAGCTCTGGGCTTTGGTTGGTGGTACAAGGTGGACGCAGCAACCTATGACTAATAATAGCGGGTGAGACACGGCGAGATGCGTATTCCTGGGCTTTGGTTGGTGGAACAAGATGGACGCAGCAACCTATGACTAATAATGGCGGGTGCGACATGGCGAGATGCGTAGCCCTGGGATTTTGTTGGTGGTACAAGATGGACGCAGGAACCTATGACTAATAATGGCGGGTGAGACATGGCAAGATGCGTAGCTCTGGGCTTTGGTTGGTGGTACAAGATAGACGCAGGAACCTATGACTAATAATGGCGGGTGAGACATGGCGAGATGCGTATTCCTGGGCTTTGGTTGGTGGTACAAGATGGACGCAGGAACCTATGACCAATAATGGCGGGTGAGACATGGCGAGATGCGTAGCCCTGGATTTGGTTGGTGGTACAAGATGGACGCAGCAACCTATGACTAATAATGGCGGGTGCGACATGGCGAGATGCGTAGCCCTGGGATTTTGTTGGTGGTACAAGATGGACGCAGCAACCTATGACTAATAATGGTGGGTGAGACATGGCGAGATGCGTATTCCTGGGCTTTGGTTGGTGGTACAAGATAGACGCAGGAAACCTATGACTAATAATGGCGGGTGAGACATGGCGAGATGCGTATTCCTGGGCTTTGGTTGGTGGTACAAGATGGACGCAGGAACCTATGACCAATAATGGTGGGCGAGACATGGCGAGATGCGTAGCTCTGGGATTTTGTTGGTGGTACAAGATGGAGGCAGGAACCTATGACTAGTAATGGCGGGTGAAACACGGCAAGATGCGTAGCCCTGGGCTTTGGTTGGTGGTACAAGATGGACGCAGGAACCAATGACTAAAAATGGCGGGTGAGACATGGCGAGATGCGTATTCTCCAGGATTGTATTTGGCTGAATACGAACGAGTGAAATAATATTGACATAAGACAGAACCATAACATTTATTCCCGGATATTTCCATAAAAAGGCATTCTGATTTGCGCCACGGGGCGCAGTACGCATGCGTCGATTTACTTTTTTTGTCCTCGCAGGAGAGATTTTTATTAGCCGCTGTAATGCAAATTGGATTTCCTGTGCATCAGAGCTCGGGAATTGAAATGAATTTATCAGCAAGGCTTGACAGACCTGCAAAGACGCTGACCCCTTTCGCGGCTCGGTGTTTTGCGTGCGGCAGGGTGAGTGAATCGTAATTAGGAAATGGAGGCGTAGAGCGACGGCGGGTCAGAAACACAAGACGGTCGGTGCGACATCAATTGTTTTATAGCGGGAGATATGAGAAGCAATTAGGAGACAAACAGCGCATTTTCCATTTAATTACTTTGTTTATTACAGGCGCAGGTTCGGCGATGATCGCGGAGGAGGAGGCGCTTTTTAATTTACTCAAATTAACATGTATATTCGATAAAACCCTCTCAGACGTCCGCTGGCATTGCTCTGCTTCTTCATTCTTCTAATCAGCATCTTGGCTGTAATGAAGGAATTATCAGCTGTACTTTGCTTCCCTCCAGCGGCAGGAAAACAGAATGCAACCTTCAGAATCGCATTCACACGCAGCGTTACTCAACGCCCTGCATATCTTATCAATGGGAACGTTAGAGGGACTCTGAGCAAGTTAGGGAATAAAAATACTTTCCACAACACCCGGCCTGGACTGGGACAGCAAAGAAAGGTGGGAAGGAGAGAAGGACAAGATATATACCTAGATAAACTCATATAGAAAATTCAGTATCTGATAATTCCACCAAACGGGTGAAGATTGACCCTGTCATTGGATGGAATATCCAATCACCTTATACATATATACATCCCATTATACATTGTATCATTATATACATTCCATTATACATTGTATCATTATATACATTCCATTATACATTGTATCATTATATACATCCTATTATACATTGTATCGTCATATACATTCCATTATACATTGTATCATTGTATACATTCTATTATACATTGTATCATTATATACATTCCATTGTACATTGTATCATTATATACATTCTATTATACATTGTATCATTATATACATTCCATTATACATTGTATCATTATATACATTCCATTATACATTGTATCATTATATACATTCCATTATACATTGTATCATTATATACATCCCATTATACATTGTATCATTATATACATTCCATTATACATTGTATCATTATATGCATTCTATTATACATTGTATCATTATATACACCCATTATACATTGTATCATTATATACATCCTATTATACATTGTATCATTATATACATTCTATTATACATTGTATCATTATATACATTCTATTATACATTGTATCATTATATACACATTCCATTATACATTGTATCATTATATACACATTCCATTATACATTGTATCATTATATACATTCCATTATACATTGTGTATCATTATATACATCCTATTATACATTGTATCATTATATACATCCTATTATACATTGTATCATTATATACATTCTATTATACATTGTATCATTATATACATCATATTATACATTGTATCATTATATACATCCTATTATACATTGTATCATTATATACATCCCATTATACATTGTATCATTATATACATTCCATTATACATTGTATCATTATATATATTCTATTCATACATTGTATCTCTCTAACTCCTGGCATAGAGGGGAAAACAAAAAATGTGTGTAAAAAAATTAAAAAATAAATACATATTAAAAAATAAAAGAAAAAATAAATAAAAAATACTTAGATGAAGGTTTGATCTAGTTCAGTGCCAGGGTTAGTGTTTGGATCAAGGTCAGGGTCAAAGGTCATGATTTAAAAAAAATTGGTGTCAGTGTGTTTTAGGTAAAAAAGACAAAAACAAAAAGCGCACTATTGTTTCTGGGCCGTACTCCGGGTACAAACAACAAATAACATCCACATATATGGTATCGCTGCGATCGTCAAGAGCTGGAGAATTTATTTCGGGTTGTTCTTTGTTGGTAGGTTATGGCAGTAACAAGAAACACACAGCTAATTAAAAAAAATATTTTTTTTTACTTACTATTTTGGGCCAGTTGATAATAAATAAAAAATCAGGAGGTATCCATGACCATTTACCACCAAACGAAAGCCCAATTTGTCCTGAAAACAAACCGCGGTATAATCCACCGGGATGTACAAAGTCGTGATGATACGGACGGTTTTACTAACACATGTAAAAGTTGCAAAATTGTGCTTAGGCATTAAGATTTGTTTTTACCGTCAGGCGTGAAGGGGTTAAGGAGGATTCGGCAATACAATTGTTTTTTTGGGAAGAAAAACTTTTTATTTCCAAAGCAGAAATTCAGCTGACATAAAATGTGACTTAGAGCCGAACAATAACAGGTAAATGGGGATGTCTGATGATTTATTCATATTCCCACTCTGGCTGGAAGCACATTTCCTTCTTGTTGTTACATTGTAAGTTATGTTCTCCATTATATAATAACAAGAATGAGGGAATGTCTGCAAATGTAAAGAAATGTCTCCGATCTGCTGCAAAAAGTAACAAATCAATGTGTGCGACCAACGCCTACTAATATCCCTGATGGTCCACGCAGAGGGAGGTATTTGGGGACAAATTGGATGTTCCCGGTGACATTTAATGGTAATGTTTTCAGATCCATTTTATTTATTTTTTTTTTACGTTTACAAGTTTTTAAATTCATTTTTTTTACTGATTATTTAAATTTTTTTTTTAAATGTTTTTGTTGGTAAACAATCGACACAATAGGTAACCAAAAGTTTATAGATTCCTCGTCGTCACATCTACACGAGCTTTTATGTCATCCCATGTCAAACCCGTGGTCATTAACCACTTCAAGTCTGGACACTTCCCCCCCCCCTTTCCAGTCCGGACACTTTCCCCCCCTTCAAGTCCGGACACTTTCCCCCCCTTCAAGTCCCCGGACACTTTCCCCCCTTCAAGTCCAGACACTTTCCCCCCCTTCCAGTCCGGACACTTTCCCCCCCTTCCAGTCCGGACACTTTCCCCCCCTTCCAGTCTGGACACTTTCCCCCCCTTCCATTCCGGACACTTTCACCCCTTCCAGTCCGGACACTTTCCCCCCCTTCAAGTCCGGACACTTTCCCCCCCTTCCAGTCTGGACACTTTCCTCCCCTTCCAGTCCGGACACTTTCACCCCCTTCCAGTCCGGACACTTTCACCCCCCTTCCAGTCCGGACACTTTCCCCCCCTTTCCAGTCTGGACACTTTCCCCCCCTTCCATTCCGGACACTTTCACCCCCCCTTCCAGTCCGGACACTTTCCCCCCCAGTCCGAGACACTTCCAGTCTGGACACTTTCCCCCCCTTTCCATTCCAGTCCGGACATTTTCACCCCCCTTCCAGTCCGGACACTTTCCCCCCCTCCAGTCCGGACACTTTCACCCCCTTCCAGTCCGGACACTTTCCCCCCTTCCAGTCCGGACACTTTCCCCCCTTCCAGTCCGGACACTTCCCCCCCCCCCCCCTTCCTGTCCAGGCCAGTTTTCAGCTTTCAGTGCTATCACACTTTGAATGACAATTGCGCGGTCATGCAACACCAATAATTCCATATTAATTATTTATCATTTTTTGAGACAGATAAAAGTTTATTTTAGGGGTATTTATTCACCGCTGGGATTTTTATTTTGTTTGCTATATTATTATATTATTATTATATACAGGATTTACAGTGAGGAACAGAAGTATTTGAACCCCCTGCGATTCTGCAAGTTCTCCCACTTCTCCATCATGGAGGGTCTGACATTCACATTGGAGGGGATTCCCACTCTGAGGACAGAATTCAGGAGATCACATTGTATGATTTGTAAAGAATGTATTTGTCTCGCACGGCTGAAACAGAAGTATTTGAACCCCTGAGAAGATCCGTGTTAATATTTGGTACAGAAGCCTTTGTCTGCAATTCCAGAGGTCAGACGTTTCCTGTAGTCCTTGGCCAGGTTTGCACTGCAACAGGGATTTTGGCCGACTCCTCCACACCGATCTCCTCTAGATCTGTCAGGTTTCGGGGCTGTCGCTGAGCAACACGGAGTTTCAGCTCCCTCCAAAGATGTTCTATTGGATTTAGGTGTGGAGACTGGCTAGGCCACTCCAGAACCTTGATATGCTTCTTACGGAGCCACTCCTTGGTTCTCCTGGCTGTGTGCTTCGGGTCGTTGTCATGTTGGAAGACCCAGCCACGACCCATCTTCAATGCTCTGACTGAGGGAAGGAGGTTGTTGCTGAAAATCTCAAATAAATGGCCCCATTCATCCTCTCCTTAATACAGTGCAGTCATCCTGTCCCCTTCACAGAAAAGCACCCCCAAAGCATGTTGTTACCACCCCCATGCTTCACAGTAGGGATGGTGTCCTTGGGATGCAACTCATCCTTTTTCCTCCAAACACACAAAAGTGAAGTTTAGACCACAAAGTTCTACTTTGGTCTCATCTGACCACATGACTTTCTCCCATGCCTCCTCTGCACATCCAGATGGTCATTGGGAACTTCAGACGGGCCTTCATGTGATGACTGGAGCAGGGGAACCTTCAGACGGGCCTGGACATGTGATGACTTGAGCAGGGGAACCTTCAGATGGGCCTGGACATGTGGACTTGAGCAGGGGAACCTTCAGACGGGCCTGGACATGTGATGACTTGAGCAGGGGAACCTTCAGACGGGCCGGACATGTGATGACTTGAGCAGGGAACCTTCAGACGGGCACATGTGATGACTGGAGCAGGGGAACCTTCAGACGGGCCTGGACATGTGATGACTGGAGCAGGGGAACCTTCAGACGGGCCTGGACATGTGATGACTTGAGCAGGGGAACCTTCCGTGCAATGCATGATTGGAAACCATGACGGCGTAGTGTTCTACCGACAGTGACCTGTGAAACTGTGGTCCCAGCTCTCTTCATGTCATTGACCAGCTCCCCCCTTGTAGTTCTGGGCTGATTCCTCACCTTTCTTATCATCAGTGATCCCCCACGAGGGGACATCTTGCATGGAGCCCCAGTCCGAGGGAGACTGACAGTCGTCTTTAGCCTCTTCCATTTTCTAACAATTGCTCCAACAGTTGATCTATTTTCACCAAGCTGCTTGGCAATTGCCCCGTAGCCCTTTCCAGCCTTGTGGAGGTCCACCGTTTTGTCTCTGGTGTCTTTTGACAGCTCTTTGGTCTTGCCCATGGTAGTAGTTGGCGTCTGACTGACTGTGGGGTGGACAGGTGTCTTTAAAGAGCTCAGACAGGTGCTACTAAGTGAGATGAATGAGTGGAGTAGAGGTGGACTTTATAAAGGCGCAGTAACAGGTCTTTGAGAGGCAGAATTCTTGCTGTTTCTCAGGGGTTCAAATACTTCTGTTCAGCCGTGCGAGACAAATACATTCTTTACAAATCATACAATGTGATCTCCTGAATTCTGTCCTCAGAGTGGGAATCCCCTGCAATGTGAATGTCAGACCCCTCCATGATGGAGAAGTGGGAGAATTTGCAGAATCGCAGGGGGTTCAAATACTTCTGTTCCTCACTGTATATGGCACCAACAGTTTGCTCAGCGCTGTACATTATAATGGGAGACAATACATGAGACAGTAACAATACAATACAATACATGAGACAGTAACAATACAATACAATACATGAGACAGTACAGTAACAATACAATACAATACATGAGACAGTAACAATACAATACAATACATGAGACAGTAACAATACAATACAATACAACATGAGACAGTACAATACAATAGACAGTACAGTAACAATACAATACAATACATGAGACAGTACAGTAACAATACAATACAATACATGAGACAGTAACAATAACAATACAATACAATACATGAGACAGTAACAATACAATACAATACAATACATGAGACAGTACAGTAACAATACAATACAATACATGAGACAGTAACAATACAATACAATATATGAGACAGTAACAATACAATACAATACATGAGACAGTAACAATACAATACAATACATGAGACAGTAACAATACAATACAATACATGAGACAGTACAGTAACAATACAATACATGAGACAGTAACAATACAATACAATACATGAGACAGTAACAATACAATACAATACATGAGACAGTACAGTAACAATACAATACACGAGGGGTTCGAGGGCCCGGCTCCTTGGAGCTTACAATATAACGGGAGACAATACAGCAACAATACAGTTCAATACAAGAGGGTTAGGAGCAGGGGTGGACTGACAACTCATGGGGCCCCCGGGCAATAGGAAATTATGGGGCCCTTGTGTCCTCGCCAACACTCAAACCACACCCACAAAAACCTGTGAAAGGTATCAAGGGCATCTCATGGGGCCCCCTACTGACCCTGGGCCCTCGAGCAGTGCCCAAGTGCTCGAATGGTCAGTCCGCCCCTGGTTAGGAAGGTCCTGCTCCTTGGAGCCCCTGCCCTTGCTTACAATCTAAGAGGGAGGGGCTAGTGGTACAAAAGGTAATAACTGTGGGGGATGGAGTGGAAGGATGAGTAGAAGATTCCATTATTAGCTGAGGTCAGGAATTGATGTTGGATGAGAAGACCTGGCTCGTATGTTGGGCCCCTCGTCGGGCACCAAAAAAAGTTCTGGCCCACCATCTGTGTTCCAGTTCATCTCAAAGGTGTTCAGTAGGATTGAGGTCAGGACTCTGTGCAGGACACAAGATCCTCCACCCCAAACTGGTCAAACCATGTTTTTATGGAGCTGGCTCTACTCTTCTAGGAAGGCTTCCCACAAAATTCACAGTTTAGGGGGGCCAGAGGGGGCAGAAAATGTCCATTGCCAAACATTAGTGAGAACAAACATAGTCTCAGGGTTGGTGGTCAGTAGGAGGAGAAGTAGTGCCCCATCAATGGTATCATTGGAAGAAATAGTGCCCCATAATTGGTGTCAGTGGAAGGAATAGTGCCCCATCAATGGTATCATTGGAAGAATAGTGCCCCATCATTGGTGTCAGTGGGGGAATAGTGCCCCATCATTGGTGTCAGTGGGGGGAATATAGTGCCCCATCATTGGTGTCAGTGGGGGGAATAGTGCCCCATCATTGGTGTCAGTGGGAGGAATATTGCGCCATCATTGGTATCAGTGGGAGGAATAGTGCCCCCCCATTGGTGTCAGTGGGAGGAATAGTGCCCCATCATTGGTGTCAGTGGGAGGAATAGTGCCCCATCATTGGTGTCAGTGGGAGGAATAGTGCCCCATCATTGGTGTCAGTGGGAGGAATAGTGCCCCATCATTGGTGTCAGTGGGAGGAATAGTGCCCCTTCATTGGTGTCAGTGGGAGGAATAGTGCCCCATCATTGGTGTCAGTGGGAGGAATAGTGCCCCATCATTGGTGTCAGTGGGAGGAATAGTGCCCCATCATTGGTGTCAGTGGGAGGAATAGTGCCCCCTTCATTGGTGTCAGTGGGAGGAATAGTGCCCCCCCATCAGTGGTGTCAGTGGGAGGAATAGTGTCCCATCATTGGTGTCAGTGGGAGGAATAGTGCCCCATCATTGGTGTCAGTGGGAGGAATAGTGCCCCATCAGTGGTGTCAGTGGGAGGAATAGTGCCCCATCATTGGTGTCAATGGGAGGAATATTGCCCCATCATTGATACTAGTGTCAGGAATTATGCCCCACTGTTGGTGTCATTTGGAGAGAATAATGCCTCATTTTACTAGGAGGAATAGTGCCCCAAGGGGCAACGGGCCACAGTTTGGAGACCACTGCTCTATTAGAGAAATTACGGAGAAAATGTATGCAGCGTGTATGAATGAGTTGGACAATCGTTGAAGCAAAGGTTTTATGAATAGATCCCTAAGACTCTTCTCTGACCCTCGGCTTGCCTAGTGAAATGAGAACCCGAGAAGTGTTCTGTGCAGCACAATGAGGTGCAGCGTTTCCCGTATATGAGGGCCCCGGCTCTCCCGGCTCCGTCCCCCTCGATCTTCAGGAGTTCCGGCATCAGACAGGTTTACTTCACCTTGTTACACCTTCACATTGTATTCGTATATTACACAAGGTTGAATCAGACCATCTCAGCCCTTTTCTGTGATTTCCCGCAACTTGATGTGCCGCGCTGCAGATTGATTGGGTAAGATGTAACCTTCTGAAGGTAAATGTAGAGTCGCTCGCTCTTCATATCCCGTATGCAAATATTCCCAACAAATAGGTTTCAGTTAATTAAAAAGAAAAGAATCATGATGTACTAAATTCACCGGAGAGAAATGTTTTCTTCTTCCCCAAACTATAATTAATATCCTGAGACAGCAGATGTGGAGCGCCACGTTCACCCCGGGGAGGGTGTTTGCTGAGGCTGTAAAATGTGATTTCTGTCCATGGCAAGGCTGGAAAATATCCCGGAGAGGTGTTGGTGCATTGTGTGGATTCACATGGAGAAATGTGTTGTCGTGTCACCGATCGATGTCACCGATCGATGACTGCAATGTTAGAAGCATGTCTAGATGTATGTCAGCGAGCGATGTATTTATTTCTTGTGCTGCCCTAAGCAATGCCA